GCGCTCCGGCGGGCCGGGCCGGTCACCGCCCGGCGCCCGTATTTAAAGTGTGCCCGGGGGCGGCGGAGCGCTGCGCGGAACCGCTCCGGGAGCAGCGCGCCCGCCCCGGCCCGAGGGGGGGACACGGAGGAGGAGGAGCGGCGGGAGGAGGGATCCTGGCGAGTTCACTTTGGTACCAAGGGGCAGGCGGGCTGCGGGGCTCGGACGGGCGATGGAGAAGGATGAGATCCACCTGCGCAGGCTGCCGGCCGCCGCGCCCTGGGGACCGCGTAAGTCTCGGCCGCCGCCGCGCTGGGGAAGATGCGGGATGGGGAGCGCTCCTGCCCTGCCGGGGACGGGCTCGCCGGGCGGCCGCCCCGGGTGCCCCGATAAGGGATTTATTATTAGCGTTTCATCGACTATTTTTAAAAATCCAGAAATAATCGCCGGAGAGTACCGGTGAAATGAAATAGCTCGCCTCCCATCTCCCGCTTTCCGCCGACCCACCCCCCCACCAACACCCCGAAGCATAAAACAGTGTAAAGTCCTTTTAACCTATATTAATATAATAATTAAAAGCTCGTCTAACCCCAGGAAGCCAATCTAATTATGAAAAATTGCTGGAGTATGAAGTATATGTGACAAATCCCTGAGTTGATGATTGCTGATAATTCACCCTGTGCTGCGGAAGAGGAGCTAAAAAAAACCCATTACTAAATGAAATGGATCTGTCTGAGATTGTCAGTAATGTTTTTACAGAACTGACTAAATCATGTATCTTGGTATCATTAACTAATGTGTGCAGCAAATAAATTATATATACTGGAAGRGGAAAATACATTCCTTGGCTGAAAAGTTGCAGAATGTTTGGAGCCAAAGAGCAGATCGTTTAAATGGTAGGGGGTGGGAATTTCCTTGGCTTCCCTCTGGAAATAAATCACAACTCAGTGTCTGGGTGCATGCATGTGCACCCACATGTGCATTTATATAAAATCTGTGTACGGGAAACCTCCATGCACACACACTGGGACACTAATTCTGCAAGTACTGTTTTCTGCACTCATTTTTTTCTACCAGTTTGGAGACAATAAAACCAGAACCGAGATGCTAACCAGGAACATACTGGAACTCTTCTGATTATCCAGCTGAATTGTATACAAATGAAGTAAATTTAGCATGGCACCATTTATAAATTCCATGCTTTACAATCAAAATTCCAAATCTAGCTGTTTGCAGCTAAGAATAGCGTGGGGAGCCCTTTTCTTTACTCCCTCTTTCTGGATTCCCACGAAAACTGTTATCCTGGAGTCTACTCATTAAATGGCCAAATATTTCACTGGAGTTCAGCCCATTTCTAGAAGCAGTGCTRTTTACTCATCAAACCTAGGCTGGTCAGAGCGCTCAGAATTGGAACTTTTTCTTGAATGTCTGACACAAAGCAGGTGAGCTGCATATCTAAGGAGCAGGGGACAGGGTTTCTGCGTGGCACCGGTTGTCTCACCTCAACTTCTTCCTGGGAATCAGGAGCTCRAACTTTTCCAAACTGCAGTGGAAGGCAAGTAGAGCATGGGAAGCTGAAGTGTTGTGGCAGTACATTAAGAGAGATATCAGTGAGAGGACTAAATGATTAAATGGCACTGGGAACTGCCATTACTCATGGGGCAGGTGGCAATTTATCACGAGGTAATCGCAGCGAGAGGGTGGTGAGAGTCCTGAGAAATCGTTTGAGTGGCTTTTTATCTTTGAGAAGCACAGTCTTTTACAGTGACTTTATTTAATTTACTGAATCACCCTTTAGCAGCATGAACAGCTTCATTGATGAGTTCAAGGAGCAGTTTWGCTCTTGGCAGTGTGTGTTTGTATTTCTGTTGATAACCTATCCAAAAGAGCTTGTTTGTAAAAGCTGTTTAGAAGACAAAACCCCTGTCTAATGACATAACAGCATTTGTGGTAGGAATTGTTTCRTAACTCCTGCTTTTATTGCTGGAGAGACCTGTGGAGACCCATCCTTGAAGGTTTTGTACTCAGAAAAATCCTCCTGCAGACGGCGAAGGAAACTTGCTGGTTGCAAGGAGTTAGGAGAAAGTTAAGGGCAGTGAGAGGATGATGGAAGACAGGAAAGCAAAAGGGAACCCGTGCTCCCCCGAGCTCCGGGTAAACAYTATCTGTTGCCTCCATCCAAAGCACTGTTTCACTTAGCACTTCCAAGGAAAAAAAGTGACCTCAGCACATTATTTTTGGCCCTGTCGGTGGCATGAAAGGACAGGTGTCCTGATCTACATCTGTGCCCTGAGGAGCCGGGCACTGCAGCTGATGCCTGCCAGCTTTGTGTGCCCACTGCTTCTTTGTGCCCGGCAGAATGAGAGCGTCTGGGGAGGATGGGCTGAGCGTCAGAACTGGGGTGGGCTCTGGGGCAAGGGAGTGGCCCGTTGGCTTCTGAAAGGACCCTGGTGATATCGTGCCACTGCAGGGAAAAGCTTAGAGGCACAGAGACAAGTGCCCGGGACTAAGCAAAGCCTCAGGAGTTAAGTTCTTTACCCCTTAACCTTTCAGCAGTCAAAAACTCCCTGAGCGAACATCTGCCCCCTTCAAAAACAAACTGGAATGTTCTCAGACCAGCACCCCAAAAAAATGAAATGTTTCTTCCCCTCTTTTCTGGACGGCCTTGTTCAGTYCAGAGCTGGGAGTTCCATCCCCTGTCCTTAGGATTTTGGTGTGTGCTGCCCAGCTTTCCCCGGTAGCACTGCAGCTCTTTCCATTAGCAGTGAAAATGATGGAGCATATTAAGCTAATAATTAATCAGAGATGACAAGGGACTAATAACTGTATTGATTTAATTAGGACTTCTTTTCCAGCTCTGTAACTTGCAGTCATGCACATCATTAACGTAATACTTTAATTTGCTGTAATAACTTATTAATTTCTGGGGTGAGCATGCACACGACYGGGGCAGCAGCTCTGGCTTTGTCCTGGGCTGCAGGCATGTGCCATGGAAAGCATTCCTTGTCCTGCCCGAGGCTGGCAGCAAGCAGGGCAGCTTGGCAGGCACTGGGAGCTCTGACAGGGCATCAGTGTGGTAGGAAACGGGGCACTGTGGAGTGGGGAGTGGTGGATGTGCTGGGGACAGGGTGTGGAGCTCTGGGACCACGTGCTGAGGTCACACGGGTGTGACATGAAATATGGGGGAAAGCAGCATGCCAAACCAGAAGGCAGGCAGCAGAGTGACCCTGGGAAGTGGCAGTATTTGTTGGCATCGGGGAGGGAAAAATGTCCCTTTTTACTCGAATTGCACCCTTTGGGTTCTGGCAGTTTGGAGAAAAGGAAATCCTTGGGGATGTACTGTGGTTGGAAAATAAGGCTCACTTTTAATTAGGATCACTTTGGGGAAGAGGAAGAAAGGAAGGGGCTATATCAGGCATGAAAAACACGAGGACTTTATTGTGTGAAAGGCTGATGAATGCCACATTTGGTCCCACCTCCCGTTTTACTGAGGCCACTTGGCACCAACAGGGGCACGTTTGGCACTTTGCACTGCTGGGTGCTGAGCAAGATCCCTGGGACACACTCCTGAGCAGAAACCTCTCCAGCAGGAAGGAGCTGTTCCTGCTGAGGTCACGGTGCTAAACAGGTGCTGATCTCACACTGTGCAGCAAGGTTTGTACTCCTGGGGGAAGGGACCCCACTCAGAGCTCAGCATCCTGCTCCCTATTGTGCAGGCACTTGCCAACCCTTGCCCTGTGCCCTGGGAAGGCTGATCACTCTGCTGCATTGCCGTTTGCCACAAAGGGCAGTCAGCACAGGGATGAGATCTGGGAAAACCAACAGCATCCAGCAGGCTCCAGAGGAAAGCCTGGCCTAAGTCCTTGGCGGTGTCCTCCGGCAAAATGATGGGGAATTTGAAATATTTGCAAATCGAATTATTGGGTCACTGTGTGAGGGCACCAATGATCTGCTGAGGTCCAGGGATGAAGTTGCCACTSTCCTTATTTCTTGTGAGTGTTTTCAGGGATTCTGAGAAAGCCCTTCTGCTCACAGGCTGATGTTTTATTACACAAGCCAAGTTAGCAAGAGTGGGATGAAGCAGCTCTGTATGATTTCAGAGCTCCAGAAGGTGTTAGGCTGCCGTGGGCTTCTTCACCTTCCCGACCTCGCTCATGTTTGCAGCCCAACTGGAGATTAGGACAAGACTTGCTGTTCTGTCACAGGCACAAATCCCAAGGCGAGGGGGTTTTACAAACGACAAATTTTCCGGGCTTGGCAGCTTTGCTGGGGCCCTGTCCCGGGGTTATTTTCAGTGGTGCTAAGTCATCTYGTGCCAGCTGTTACATCTGAGCGATGGCACCGGCGCTTCGTTGTGCTGCTTTGGAGAGCACGGAGACAGCGGTGTGACCATTGTTCCTGTGGGTGATTGATGGTAAATGTGGGCCTTTTAACACAACCACAAAGTCTGCCTGGCTCAGGAGCTGGGGATGCACAGGAAGCACAGCTCCTCGTGCTGGGCTGCATTAGTCACCGCAGTTGAGTCCTAGGCGAGCCTGCATGCCCTCCGGGAGCACAGACTCTTGTTTTATTTGGTTTAGGCTTTGATTTGTATCCCTYGTCCCTCTATTTCTGAAAGTAGTACTCCATCGTGGTGGGAGGGCCAGCTCTCCTCCCTGCCCCTCACCTCAGTGCACACTTTAGCCTTTCTGTGCAGCACTGACCTGCGTCCCCGCTGCGTCCTCGCCTCGCCTTTGTTCCGTGCCTTTGTGCTGCTCTGTGCGCTCCGTGTTCCAGCTTCCTTTGCTGCTTCCAGTGCCTCGTCCCTGCCTCTCCTCTGTGGCTGGCCCACATGCCAGTGTTTGCTGTCTTCTTCAGACTCCCACAGTTCACATTTTTGAACCCTCTKCTGGCAGTCTGTCCTTCCAGCCATTATGGAAACTATTTCCAGATTGGAACCGATGGAAAGATAGCACTAACACCAGATCCGGTGCCGTTCCTCTTTAATATCTTTGCCTGCTCACCTTATCTGCATATCTGATTTATTCTTGGCAGCCCTCTATCTGTGCAAGGATCTGGATGCACATTCTTATTCCTATCGGTGGTATATTAATAATGTATACAATTACTGAGATGGCCTTTCGGACTGCAGCTCTGAAAGGCAGAAGCTTCTCTTTTCTTAAACTGACACAAACACCTATGACTTTTTCCACACAACTGGAAGTGCTCCGAGGGAGTTTAAAAACCTGAAATCTGTAATGAAAAGCCTGAGTGGTTTGCAGGCATTAACTGCTCTTTTCATATCCTATAA